TTTGCTGATGATAGAGGTAGTATTATACATTAGGAAGTTTACTGGGATGGGAAAGAAATTTTTCATTGTTAAATGATTCTCTTGAATTGAGTTGATTTGGGGGTTGTATTTTTTAATCAGTATAAGGAGTTCATTGTAATTTTTGCAGTAGCCGTTCAAATTCCATTGAAGTATCGAGATAGACATATTTTATGATAGTAAATGAATACAAATATATATACAAATATATTTAAATTAGGTTTACGGTAGGGTTATCTTGGATTTAGTTAATGAGGGTTGACAGTATTATTCGCAATACTTTTTATTTTAGACCTTGTTAACATGTAGTCTTGTTTGACTAATCTTTTTTCCCTTTTAGACATTTTAGTAGATTCAGTCGCAGACGATGTTTTGGTTGGGGTTGGTGGCGGTTTCAAAGAGTTTTGTTGTGGTTGTCCATGGTTGGGACTTGCCACCGTCGAGTAGAGGGATCCGTCGTGTTGGTGTCTTACTTTATAGCCCAGGCTGCGCGGTTGTCGATTTTCTGGTTGGCTTTGATGGCCTGTAATTCCTTGTAAGAGATGAGGACGGGACATGTCCTATCTCTTGGATGGTGGTTTGTACTTTCTTTTTTTTTTGCAATTTATGCAGCTGATGTCATTTGTACATTCTTCGCCCATCTCCAATTGTAAGTCTGGGTTTTTACAGAACTTGGTTGTGTGTCCAATACGTAGGCAGTTGAAGCAGCGCATTACTGGTAGAACGTAGATACGTACAGTGACTCTTCGGTATCCAATAAAAATATTATCGGGTCGGTTCAATAATGAGAAGGTGATGATGAAAAGGCCTGTTCCAGTTGGTTGACGGTTTGTGAATCTAGTAATTTGCTTTACTTCGACCACTTTTTGGGACTTCAAGTTATCCAATATTTCTTCATCCTCGATCTCAATTAGACACGTGACGGTTTGTTGGTCGATGAGAGCACTTGACACTGATCTAATTACTGATAAGAGTTCTATTGTTAGACTCGAATGGGTTTTTTTTTTCGAAGAACGAAGGTTTTGGGTTTGAGAGAGCACAAGAATCGCACAACCGTTTGCTTTGACTGCCGAAATTGAACTGTCTCCGACATAGACTTGATCTCTCCTATGGCAGCTATACACACTGGTCGGCATTTAGAGGTGGAGAACTTTCGATGGCACTATCGGGACTATCGATGGTTTGCCACTATCGATACGCAATCGATAGCTGCGCGCACTCTCGATAGTGGTCAATCGCTATCGTCGATTGTTTTCGATATTTTGGTTTTCCCATGACTACGTTAAAAGTGTAAAGGAAAGGAAATTGCGCGAAATTGTTTTAGAGTTATATAAATTGTTATTAAAAACATAATGAATCGTTTTCTTCAAATAGGTAAGATATTTTTATTTTGTTGTTATATTGTAATTTTGTATTATGAAGTTAAAAGCCAAATTTTGTGTGACAATAACAAAAGTGCTACGTGAGATGCCATTACTGCTATTACGGTTTGTTGTGAAATACATACGCATATATACATACATGCGTTTCTTTTTCACAAAGATAAATACATAATAATAAAAGTATACATTTAATTAAAGGAAAACGCCGAACATATATAAATTTATAGAAAGCAGTTAAGGTAAGCCTAAAAAAACAAAATCATATAATTCGAAAGATTGGAAAACCAATGTCATACTTTATAAATAAATATTTTATATATAAATAAATATCATTAGAAACACTAATTAAATTATTTTTTTTGAGTGTACTCTGCACTATCGCCAACTATCGACGATAGATTTTCTTTGCTATCGCCGATAGTCGATAGTTTATGAAAACTATCAAGCGCTATCGATGGCGCAGACTATCGATAGTTCTCCACCTCTAGTCGGCATATATACATATTTTGACAAAATAAAAGTGAAATACAGTAGAATCCGCTTATAGCGACTTTCAAGGGACCGACGATTTTTCGTCGTTATACCCGGAAGACGCACTAAGCAGAAGGATTTAAGTGTATAAGTCTGTATAGGGACCAATCAAGCCATGGAGTTTTCGTCGCAAAAAACCGGACGGACACTATAAGCGGAGTCGTTATAACAGGATTCTACTGTATACTCGAAACTTGAACTTGCTTCTTTTAACTTTTGGTATCAATGGAAAGGTAATTTAAATGCCGTTTGAATGATACCATGATTTTCTTAACTCATTCGATATTCATTGAAAAGGGCAACTTCGGCAAGCCGAAGCTTATATACCCTTGCAGTCATCAAATACTCTATGTCGAACTAAATACATAAAGGCTAAACAGCATCGAAGCTATGACGATTTTTCTATTAATTTTCCATATTTTCGACTATTGTTCAAATGACGGCTATATAATATAGTCGTCCGATTTTGATGAAATTAAATCGTCGTTAGAAAACTCTAAATTTCAAAAATCATGCTTTTTATTTCTATATAGATTTTACGATCTTTCCTATGGCAGCTATATCATAACGTTGTCGGATTTTAATGAAATTTTTTTCTCGATTCAAGGGTTATTAAAAAAATCCATACTTTGAAAATCATGCTAATAGGATTAAAAACAACGATATTATAATTTTTTCCATTATTTATATATGTATATCCTTCCTATGGCAGCTATATGATAGAGTTATCCGATTTTGATAAAATTTAATTCGAAATTCAATAGTGGTTAGAAAACGCCACATGGAAGAAATCAAGTCGATCTGATCAAAAACAACGGCGTGAGCATTTTTTATTTCATTCTCTCGTATTGGAGCTATCCGATATAGTCGACCGATCCGGCTCGTTCCGACTTATATACTGCGTGCAATAACTACACACCTTTTGGGAAAGTTTCACCAAGATAGCTTTAAAACTGAGAGACTAGTTTAAAGAGAAACAGACAGACGGCCAGACGGACAGACGTACATACATATTTCGACTCAGATGGTGATGCTGATCAAGAATATATATACTTTATGGGGTCTGAGGTGTCTCCTTCACTGCGTTGAAAATTTCTGACTGAAATTATAATACCCTTTGCTCTGCATGGGTATAAAAAAGTGATATGCGTTTTAAAGGTAATATATTTCTTAAAATAATCAGAAAGAGTTAAAAAAAAAAATTTTTTTTACTTTTTTTTTGCAGCACTTGAAAAGTGCATTTTTAGCTCAAGAAATCGCTGTTAATTTATTATTTTCAAATAAAAAAAAAAAAATTAAATCTTGATTATCTGCGTATTATGTGAAGAATTTGTGTTTAAAATTTGAAAAGGATCGGTTCAGTAGAATTCCAGTTCTGATGTTCACCGACTTTCAAAATAACGTTTTCGGGAAAATCGACTAAAAGTATTTGTATAAAAAAATTTGATGACAATTGGTTTATCCCAAAGTCTTCAATCACTTCCGTAAGGTCAAAAAAACGTGGTTTTGAGAAAAACGCGTTTAAAGTTATGACTTCAAAAGACCGGTGCTCGACATGTGCTCCATGGAAAGGCCTGTAACTCTTCTAGTTTTTAAAATTTTGATTTGAAATTTTTTGAGCACATTTTTGGAACATGTGTACGATAAGCTGAAAAATTAAATTTTTTTCCCACAATGTGAAAACCAGCCTTAATGATCGCTGCTAGATTGTTCATTGGAGTCCTCAAAGCCCACTTTGTTAATATTAGTTTGTTTGGTAATGACATACCGGTTTTACATTCAACTTTCGCGCTTCGCTTGTGAAGTCAAATATAATCGTATCTGGCAATGCTGTATATCGTTTGAAAGGTATTGGCATCACCTTTTAAATGACATACAGTTTGTTTACATGAGCTTCCACGTTTTGAAATTTTATTTCGCACAGGGAAAAACTGCTGCGGAATCTCGCAGACAGATTATTAATGTCTTAGGATATAACAAACTTTCGATTCAAACCGCCGAACAGTGGTTTAGTCGATTCCGAAGTGGCAATCTTGATACCGAGACACCCAAGCCTTCCGGACGACCAGTGACCGTTGATACGGATAAAATCATGGAAATAGTGGATCGAGATCGTCATGTGACTATTAGAACCATCGCAGAGGAGCTGCAACTAAGCACGGAAACCGTCCATAGGCATTTAAGGCAGGTTCTCACTTTGTGGGGCCGAAAAATGGCACTTTTTTAAAAAAATTGTTTGGAAAAAACGGTTAAAGATAAATAGCTGGAATTTTTAACTTTATTTGAAAACATATTTACTTTGCGAAAAAGAATTCCGAAATTGAAAAAATAAAAAAGGGCGGGAGGGGGCGTTCCTCAGTGGCAGCATGTCGGCGAAAAGGTGTCCCGCTTACGGAAGTGATTCAGCCAAAACGGGTAATCGGAGACACAAAAACCAAAAAGATTCTTAAGGTGTACAGTACTGAGCATAAAATGAACTAGGATCAGAAAAAAAAATGAAAATTGCAAAAGTTATTAGCTTTAGAAAAAAAATTACGATTTCTCAAATAAACAGTTTTCAATATTTTTGGATAGGAACATTTAAAAAAATTTGATGACGATTGGTTAACCCCAACGCCTTCAATTACTTCCGTAAGGTCCGTAAACGTGGTTCCGAGATAAACGCGTTTAAAGTTTTGGTTTCAAATGGCCGGTGCTCGACATGTGCTCCATGTAAAAGCCTGTAACTCTTCTAATTTTTCAAATTTTGATCTGAAATTTGTTGAGCAAATTCTTAAAAATATATCTATACGAAAAGCCAAAAAAATCGATTTTTTTTTTCGACACAAGGTGAGAACCTGCCTTAATAGAAAAATCGACATAGCTTCGACATTGTTTTATTGCTTTTATGTATTCTGTTCGACATATTTGATGTCTGCAAGGGTATGTAAGCTTCGGCCCGCCGAAGCTAGCTTTCTATCTTGTTTATTACTCGTATATCTTAAAAAACCTCGTTTTTCCGTTACTAGAATGACAAAACCTCTTAAAACAATGTTGATTGAATGATTTTTTATTTCTTTTTTTTTTTAGGATGATGAAGAGGGCATTGTAGATGGTGAAGTAATTGACAAAATACTTAATGCAATGGATGCTTGCTTGCTGATATGTACCATTTATTCTACAGTTAGCGATCTTAAGTTTTTACAAGAGGATAATATATCACACATTTTAAAATTTACACAATTTCAACTACGTGAAACAATATTTCCTCTCCATGATCCGGTTTATACAGTCAAAAGTATAAAAAAAACCCATAACCGCAAAAAAATAAAGTCCCATCAAGCTCACAGTAGAAGTCTGCAGCTATTCTACTCAAAAACTGTGGAGCTTTTAAAAGTTTTTGTAACACTATTCGATAAATGTGTTTTCGTTGATACTATTGTTTTGCCATTGTCGACATTGGCTATTGAACCGTTCTTTGTTGATAACATAGAGACGTTGCAGTTTGTGTGCTTGGAACTCGTTACCACAGTAAGTACTTATTAGCGTGCATAAGTTAAAAAAAATACAAGTAATAATAAAATACAAATCATAAAAAAGTAAAAATATTAAAAAATTCGATTCGGCAAGCCGAAGCTTATATACCCTTGCAAGCATCAAATATGTTAATCAAAATTTACAAAGGCTAAATAATATCGAAGCTATGTCGTTTTTTCTATTAATTTTCCATTTTTTCGAGTATTGCCATATGACAGCTATATGATATAGTTGTCCGATTTTGATAAAATTTAATTCGTAATTCAAGAGTCGTTAGTCGATGAAAAACAACGATTTTATAATTTTATTTCCATAAAGATTTTTTTTATCTTTCCTATGGCAGCAATATGATAGAGTTATCCGATTTTGATAACATTTAGCCCGAAATTAAATAGTAATTAGATAACGCCATCTGGAAGAAATCAAGTCAATCTTATCAAAAATAACGGTGTGAAAATTTTTTATTTCATTCTCTCGTATGAGAGCTATCCGATATAGTCGGCCGATCCGGCCCGTTCCGACTTATATACTGCGTGCAATAACTACACAACTTTTGGGAAAGTATCAGCAAGATAATACGATAATAATATTATGGGGTCTGAGGTGTCTCCTTCACTGCGTTGAAATTTCTGACTGAAATTATAGTACCCTTTGCTCTGCAAGGGTATAATAATAAAAAATAATAAAAACAATAAAATAAAAAAAAATATTTATAATAAAAAAATAAAAATAAAAAACAAATAAAAATAATACAGGGTGACAAGAAATATCGCGGCCTCAAATTTTTGATCACAACATTTTTAGGGAAGTGTATAAAAAATCAGATACACAACTATCTAATAGCTGTCTCTGAAAACTAAGGGCAATGGGCCTCGGGTCTTCTTCCGATAATCGATTCCACTCTTGGAGCAATGATTGCTTCAGCGCCTCCAAATTTATTTGGCGTTTAGCAGCACATGCTCTGGACTCCAAAAAAGATCACATACTGTCATCCATCGGATTGAGATCTGAGGAGAAAGGTAGCTGATCAGCCTAAGGAAAGACAAAAGAATCCAAAATGTCACGGCGGTACACTTTCTGTTTGGTTTTGACCCCTTGATCGATAAAAACAAGGGGTGCCAGTGGCCAAAATTCCTCCTCAAACCATTACAGACTGCTCATATTAACGGCGCTCTACTAGTTTCTGCTGTCCCGCTTCTGCCATTTGTGCGCCTGATATGGATGTTGAATATCTTCTCGTCCGGCCCATTGCGCTAAATTTCCTGAAACGTTTTGGGTTCTGCATGGCAGCATAAGGAATCGACTTCGAAACCGACTGAATATATGTTTACGTAAAAGCATTTGATAGTTGTGTATCTACATTTTTTCTCTAATACTATATAGTTCCTCAAGAGTTTTGGTCAAAAATTTAATTCTGGGTTAATTTTGTTACCCTTTAAAAAATAAAAAACATAAAGAACCTAGCATCGGCGGGATGAAGCTTGTATACCCTTGCAATTTTCGAGCAAAAAGAAAAAAAGGCTTATCGAAGATATGACGATTTTTCTATACATTTTTGACCAATTATGTCGTCCTATTTTCATGAAATTTAATTTTAACTAGAGTGTACGTCTGTCCTTCTTTTTGATTCTATGTAAACTAGTATCTCCGTTTAATAGCTATCTTGTTGAAACTTTACCAAAAGTTGTGTAGTTATTGCAAGCAGTTTATAAGTAGGAACGAATCGGATCGGACAACAATTTTGGATAGCTCCCATAAAAGTGATCGAAAAAATAAAAGGAAAAATTATCTCGCCGTTATTATACCCTTGCAGAGCAAAGGGTATTAAAATTTCAGTCAGAAGTTTGCAACGCAGCGAAGGAGACACCTCAGACCTCATAAAGTATATATATTCTTGATCAGCATCACGGACTTACTCTCAAGGGGTTATCCTACCCCTGACCTTTTAAAAAATTAATTTTTTCAAACATTTTTATATAATAGTAAAAAGTGTAAGGAATGTTGTCCGAAAATTTCAAGTCGATCGGAGGAAAACTGTAGGAATGGGGGAAATTTAATGTGCGGGTTTTCCAGAGTGTTTCAAAGGGTTTGAAACTTTGAACGCGTGTTTTTCGAAACCACTTATTCAAAGACGGTAGTCAAATTTTTTCGAAAACTATTGCATCGATCGACTTCTCCTTTTGCACACTTCCTTTAGACATGTCTTTCTCGTATTTGAACAAAGGATTTTTTTTATTTTCAAATAGAAAATATTTTACAGGACGAAATAGGGTCAAAATGTATGCAAAAAACGTCATTTTTTATAAAAAACGTTATAAAAAATTCAATTTTTAATAAAAAAAAATCCTTCGTTCAAACACGAGTGAGACACATACACTTAAAGAAAAATTTTGAATTTATGATTTTAGATGAAAATTGGCTGAGAAAATTTGACTACCGCCAGGGCACTTTTTATGATGGGGTCAACATTCAGGCGTTCTCACTCGCTCAATTTTTAATATTTACTGTTCAAAATTTTACAGATTATAGTTGAAACATTAAAAATTCATATTCAAAAAACAAAAATTGTAAAAATATCGCAGGAGCTTTGAAAAAATTCACGAAAATAGGCCTTTTTTTTGGCCTCCAGGGTAGGATAACCCCTTAAGGGGCACAACTAGTGTAAAGTTTTAAAAAAAATCCAAAAAATTTTTTTTTTTATATTTCGGTAGATTACACCTTTAAAAACAAGAAAGGAAGCTAGCTTCGGCAAGCCGAAGCTTATATACCCTTGCAGTCATCAAACATATCGAACAAAATACATAAAGGCTAACAACATCGAAGCTATGACGACTTTTCTATTAATTTTCCATATTTTCGACTATTGTTCATATGGCAGCTGTGTATATGATATAGTTGTCCGATTTTTATGAAATTTTTTTCTCGGTTCAAGGGTAGTTCATAAAGTCGATGTTGTAAAAATCATGCTCGTGGAATAAAAAACAACAACTTTATGATTATTTTGCCATTATTTCTATATATATTTTTTGATCTTTCCTATGGCAGCTATATGATAGGGTTATCCGATTTTGATAAAATTTAATCCGAAATTTAATAACCGTTAGAAAACGCCATCTTGAAGAATTCAAGTCGATCTGATCAAAAACAACGGCGTCATAATTTTTTATCCTTTATTTTTTTGACCTCTTGTATGGGAGCTATCCGATATAGTCGGCCGATCCGGTTCGTTCCGACTTATATACTGCGTGCAATAACTACACAACTTTTGGAAAAGTTTCAACACCATAGCTTTAAAACTGAGAGACTAGTTTACATAGAAACCGACAGGAGGACAGACGGACAGACAGACAGACGGACAGACGTACATACATATTTCGATTCAGATGGTGATGCTGATCAAGAATATATGTACTTTATGGGGTCTGAGGTGTCTCCTTCACTGCGTTGCAAACTTCTGACTGAAATTATAATACCCTTTGCTCTGCAAGGGTATAATAACATATTAAAATTTCAAATCGATATCTCAAATAGTTTTTCAGTTATAACAATTTAAAGAGCAGCCGCTCTCATAACAGTGCATCAGTGCATTATCTTTAAACCCGTTTTTCTCGAAACAGCATTTTCCAAATTTGCTGCAGTGATAACTCAAAAACTAGTGATCCGATCACTACCAAAATTTTTTTTACATGTTCTTCATATAGTTCTACGTACCATGAACTATCGGTTTTTTGATCCGATCAAAAATCGAATTTTTGCTGGCCAAAAACGACCAAAATTTTGGTTAAAATTCGATTTTTTTTTTTAAACGCTGCCATTTGGTCGTTTTTTGATATTTTTTTTTTATCGTAGTTCATGGTATGGAAAATATTATCCAGTTTAACGAGAATTTTTCATAATTTGATTTCGTCCACGGAGATCACTGCAGCAGTTAAGGGGACGTTCTCTTTGTTTTGGATCAAAAAATCGATTTTTTTTTTTTTATAAAATGAAAGTTACATATGTGTAGAATATACGTGCCAAGGGATATTTCGATACGACGCGTATTTCTTGAGCTAGAGCGTGTCAAACATACCCATGTCACGCGCGCTGTGGTATGCTCTAAAAACTTTAAACGCGTTTTTCTCGAAACCATGTTTTTCAAAACAATTACGCGTCCACAGCTTCATCCTGTGAACCGATTTGCTTCATGTAAAATTTTTATGAAAGTATATGCTTTTCTTTAGGGCACTAACCTACTCCGGAAAAAAACAATAATTTATTTACAATTTTTCAACGTGGTTTAACTGAAAAAAAATGTACGAAAATCGAACTTTAAAATTCGAACGTTCATTACGCGGTCAATTTATGGCCGCAATTTGATGCCACTAGGTTAGTGCCTCGCACAAGTATATTAACTTTACATAATGGTAACAATTTTCTATTTCTGTTGACTACAAGAGGCTGCAGGCTCGTAATTTTGGGACGATGTTTGCCGCGCGGAGGCAGACGAAAGCCGCCATTTTGCAGCCGCCATTTTGAATTTCACCATCAAATAAATTTTAAAAAAATCTCGAATAATAAACAAATTCAAAAAGCAAAACCCGAAGTTCGTACGCCTTTTCATTATCCCACAAAAAATTGACGAACTTTGCCTTCATTTCGACCAAAACAAAGAGAACGTCCCCTTAAGGCACTTTTTTTTTTTAGCGCCGTTGGAGATCGACTATAACTTAAAAAATATTAAACTTTTTTTTTAAAAATTTCACTCTACATTCTTAAAACATGTATAAATATGTTCTGAAAATTTGAAAAAAATTGATCAAGTAGTTTTTTTTATAAAAATTCCCAAAAATCACCATTTTTTTAGGCCGTCACACTAGTTGTGCCCCTTAAAAAACAAAAAAAATATTGGATTCCGTCGATCCTGTAGAGGATCTTCTAAGGGTCCACTTAAGGGGGGCTTCTCATGTAAAATTTAAAAAAAATCGAAATTTTTTTTTTCATAAATCGATAGA